TTTGTTGTTGTGTGTGTGTGTGTGTGTGTGTGTGTGTGTGTGTGTGTGTGTGTATTATCCCTAAGAGAACTCTCTTGCCATGTGATATCATCCCCACTGCAGTCAGCAGAAATGCGTGAGCCCCAATTGAAAAGGAAAGGGGCTGCTGCGGGTACATTTTATAAGTGTGGTCCTTGCCTCTACAATTTGCCCCTCCACATTACTGGTCTGCCAGAACCCAGATTTGTCTGCAAAGCTCATCTATTGTCCTAGGCATTTGGGAGTTGAGTGATTTAAGAGCTACTGTGTGTAAATGTAGAGGGGATTTTTATTATTCAGACAAGCAAATAAAATACATTGCATGGGTCACTTGCTACCTATGTTGTGAATGTTTCATTTTGTACTGGCTAGTTCTAACAGTGTACAGTGCTTAGAGGCTCTGAGAGGCACTTAGTAAGTCAAAATAAATAACCATAAGTAAACACAATGGACCAAATTTCCTTCTCATGAAAGAAAGCCCAATTCTGCTGAAGTCAGTGAGGCTATATCTACTTATGGAAGTGGTGAATTTGTCCATTGGCCCCAGTTGTAGGAACACTTGACCTAAGTCCAGAAAGAAAGAAATTATGATTATTAATATTACTAGAATTAGGACTAGATTCATAAAGGGATTTAGGTACCTAACTGTCACTTTAGGCACCTGAGTCCAACATTTAGACACCACTAGTATTCACAACCCCCCTGCTTAGCTGCTGCCTAACCCTGTAGGTGCCTAAACTCACTCCACACCTACATGGTCACTATAAAAGTTCCCTAAGCACCTATGTTTCTGCCCCTGGACATGTGCACTTCTGCCGCACGTTAGGCATCCAGATGCCCAAGCCCCAGTGCGATGCATAAAGCAGGAGAACTCCTGTTTCACTGGTGGTGTCTGATTCAATAGGCATGCTCAGAGGCCACTTACCAGAATGACTCCCATTCAGAATCTGGACAGAAGAGGAGCCACCGCCACCCAGCTTATAACTTTTAGTCCACTGGTTAGGACACTCACTGGGAGGTGAGAACCCCAAGTTCAATTCTTCACTCTGTCTGAAAGGGAGAAAGGATTCAAATGGGGAGAGGCCACCCTTCTCTCAGGTGAACACTTCAACCACTAGGCTATGAGATATTCTGAAGTGGGCCTTTCTCCATCTCTGTGTATAACTAATTAAAGAATCATTGGACCAGGACAATGCACATTTCATCCCAAAGGATCCTAAATCACTTCACAAACTTTATATAAACAACAGCACTGAAATACAGACATCTCTGGAATGGAGGGTGACCGCCAGCTGGCATATATTGGTCATGAAAGAATAAGGAAAGGGGATATTTTTGGCCAAGGACACCAAAACAAACCCCTTCTCACAAAAAGTGTGTCAGTATCTTTAAAGTGCTCTTTTACTCTGAAAAGTGACTGTGGATACATGGTATCTTCTTAGTCAATAGACCTGCTCCCGGGATGTGACTCACAGCTGATGAGTTTAGTGATTACATAAGTTTTTGCTGCTTTTTATTCCTGCTAACTTGGAAGAAATTGCACAGCCAAGAAAGTGTGAGCTGACTTATATTCTGGCTTCTGCATCATCTATAGAATTGTAAGTTTCTGCTGCACAATATTTAGTGTTGATGATGGGTGAGCCAGAAAAAGCCCAGTGTGCCTTTCACATCTGATCCTAGACTGAATTTGCAGGCCTGGCCATTAGAAAATACACATTTGTACTTGTTGTCAGAACAAATTTGCTATGGAATCAATGAGAGACAATAAATGCAACACGCCACATTGCCCTGTGGAGTAACTTTACGGAATAGAACTTGAAGAGCAGGCAGGACCTCACCTCTGCAGGTTTCATTCAAAATACCCTCAGACAGTGCACTCTGTGATACTCCGTTTTGTCTCTCTGAGAAGAATAAAAGGTTTAGCTGACCCTCAAAGATTTGAATCTGTAACCTGACACTTAGACCACTGAGTTATCCCCCTGAAAGGGACATGGAAGCCTATCCAATGGTTTGTGCCTCAATACTGTCCATTTTTCTGTTTTCAGCCTTCTTGATTATCTTGTCCTAGCTAAGCAGCACTAATTACACTATCTATCTCAGGTACTTATGTGGTCTCCATAATCTTCACAATACCCCCGTGAGATAGGAAGTACTATTATCCCCATTTTACAGATGGGGAACTAAGGCACAGCAAAGCTTATGTGTCTTATGTAAGGTCACAGAGGAAGTCTGCGATAGAATAAGGATTTGACCTACTGTCTCCTAAGTTGTAGGATAGTGCCCTCACCATCTAGCCCTTAGGAGGTGCCATTTATTAGAAAATTAATAATGATCTGTAAAGAAAAAGATAAGGGCTATGCAGGGACCCTAGAAGTCTAAAGGCAAGAGGAGAGGGAATGTTTATGAGTTAAGTGCTAGTAAGGCAAGGGACGTCATCAGAGGGGACAGGCAGAAACTCTGTAACTGGTAAGCTGGAGCCAGGCCTGAAAATTAGCTTGTCAGAAAACAATGTTAAAATATATGGAGCACATGAGCTGTGAACTATTAGCCACCATTAATGGAAGGCGAGCAGGTATTAATGAGATGTCAGTGTTTAAAACCAATAGTGTACTCAGTGTTATACAGACAGAGAGAAAGACAGTCCCTTTCTTGAGGGTCTTATAGTCAATGCTAGTCAGATACAAAACGTAACAGGTGATCAGAAGATTAACTAAATACAGAAGAGTACAGCAGTTTCCCTTCCCCTCCACCCTTGGCTTCATGGCTTTGCTACAGTATATACATAAAAAAGGCAGGAAACTTATGCTTACTAGTTTAACAGCTATACAGGTAAGGGGAAGCGTAGTTATATAGAACAGAAATTGGTAAGGAATATAAATGCTCATGCTTCAGGGTATAAGCCAACTACTACAAAAAGGTAATTCCATAATTGTCCATCACAGGGTTCCTTGCACCTTCCTGTGACATATGTGGTATTGGTCATTGTCCTAGAAAGGGTACCAGATTAGATAAACCACTGGTTTGAACCAACATGGCAATTCCTATGTTAGCATTCCAGTGAAAGATAGTGACTGACTATTGAAAAAAACATATTAAGGATCGTATTCTTGACTTAACAAGCTTTACAGACCCTCCACCACTCAAGAGGTGTACCTGATCATTCCAAAGGACTCCAGTCCAGACTGCCTTGATTCGGTAGGCCTGAGAAGTTCCCCTGGCTAGACCAATCTGGAGAAGTAAAGGAAGTAAGACCTGACCAAAACAAGGTTAGATAAGACCAAGATATGAAGGACAGAGGATCCACAGGATATTATTGGCCACCATACATAATATGCCTGATATAGCAAATGCTGGCTACAAAAAAAATGCCAAACTGATCAAAGAGATTAAGTATAAATTAACTCATCAAGTAACATATGTCTCACCTAGGGAAAGGTTTTGCTTTCAGCTAAAAATGTATAAGCCAATCAGACCACTGAAGAGCTGTATAGACACTCATCAATTTACAGCCTCAAGTAATTGTTAGAGCTGATTAAATAACTTATACACCTCTACCCCGATATAACGCTGTCCGTGGGAGCCAAAAAATCTTACCACGTTATAGGTAAAACTGCGTTATATCGAACTTGCTTTGATCCGCTGGAGTGCGCAGCCCCCCCCCC